GCACTTGTAAAGAAAAGTGGCTGAGACGCCATCGTGTTGAAACCACGTGTTGGCTCTTATGTTCAGTGGACATTTTCTAATAGTTCCGGTAGCACATGCTGTACGAATCGACCATAAGCATGCCCATCCAAACGTGGTGCAAGCAAATATGGCCCGATGATATGCTCGCCCACAATGCCGCACCAGATGTTAATTGAAAACTATGTGGTCTCTATGGATGCTATGGCATGAGGGTTTCTTCATCCCAAATGTGACTGTTACGGCTATTAAAATAACCTTCTTGTGAAACAGGACTCGTCAGTGAACAAAACGTAGCGACCAAAGTTTGGTTGCTCAACTCCTGCTGCAGCATTTCATGTGCAAAGCACGCACGCTTGTACGCGGATTGGCCTCTAGTTTGACGCACCACTCAGATAAATTAAATGAATCGGTGTGGAGAATTTACGATAACAAAAATGTAAACACAGCAGGCTTTTTTTACAAATCGGCGAGACCATGAAATGTGCTAGACGAACATTTTGCAGCTGTTGATGTTTTTGTTTCTCTTAAGGTAAAATTAGCGGTAGTGCTCAAACGGCCATATTTACGAAAGGGGTTTATAAGGCAAAATTGCATATTTTTTATGCCCTCTACAACCCCTATCATTTTGTCGCAATAATTATGGAACACCCTGTATATCAAATAAAGGCATTGAAACTGCAATAAGCTGTTATAATGATTTGAAGAACGTAATAAATTGGTTAAATGTAAATAAACTTAAACTAAACACAAACAAAACAAAATATATGCTAATAGGAAAATGTTTAGATCAAAATACGGTAAATCTTACAATTAATCATGAAAAATTGTGTCAATCGAATCATTTCATATTTGGGCATACACGTAGACAGTAATTAAATTTTGAGGGCACTATGAATATATTATTTCAAAAATATCCAAGAAGATAGATTCCTTTTACAGAAATTCGCATAGACTAAGCGCTTATTCTAGAAAAATTGTGTACAACACTATCATTCTCCTCATTTGTTATATTGTTCGACTATTTTGTACACTGCAATGAAACTGTATTTTCAAAATTACAAATATTACAAATTAAACCTATGAGAATCATCTTTAAATAAAAAAATATACTAGAATAATTTTGTGAAAGAACTACAATGGTTAAATATCAAAAATTTCATAGCCTACTTGGTTTTCATTTTCATATTCAAGTTGAAAACCTCATCTTCTACCAAGTCACTTAGAAATTTCATTGTATTGAACAATGCGTGCCACAATTATTCTACTAGAGGAAGTATAGACTTTCATTTACAAAAATGCAGTAGCAATATAACGAGCAAGTCAGTATTTCAAAATGTATTGTACGAATTTAATAAATTAAGTAATGATATCAAGATGTGTGTCAGTTTGAAAATGTTCAAAGGAAAATTGAAAAAATATCTCATGGAAAATCAGAATTCATAGTAGTGAAATTTTGTATAAAAATATTAGTCTTGAAGACATAATATATTTTGTGATATATTGTGTAATATGGATATTAGGGACATTGTAGCATTAATGCTAAATAAATCTGCAACAAACAGATGGAACTAACATAGAAACATCAGTGAATATTAAGTAAAAATGTTCGTATTGTTCGGATCCTGATACGACAAAAAAAGCCTGGAATGTCTTCAACATTTTATCAGCGTATACTTCCATGTTAGCAAATATGTTTACAAGTTTTATCAAAATTCAATAAATAATTCTGAGTGTTGCATTTTATGTCACTCAGTATATTAATACTTTTTAGAATCAACAATAATTGTTATACACATGATTGATTGTTAGTTATTAAGATAATGCACACACAGGCGATGCCTTCTGTTTTTTCATATTTATTTGACCATTTTTTGTATTTTGCGAATAAATATCATTATTATTATAATAATTGTGAAAAGTGAAGGTGGATCGAAAACAGTGAAAACGAGTGTTGAGATTGGAAAAAACATTTCCTGTGCAGTCACTTATTTTTGGCCGAACATTTGTATACTAAGTGACATAAATCCGAACACCCAGTTTAAATGGTTTTATTTTAATAAAAGTTGGTGAATGTATTTATCTTACTGTAAATAACAAGTGAAACATTTTTCAGCCTTATCAGTTGGACATTCCGGATTTTATACTGCTTTTTTTTAATTCACTAATGCTCTAAAATGAATATTTCAGCCGCAGTAAAGAATCAACGTTGGCGGATTTTGGTTCTTGACATCCTTGACGATCGGTTACGATGCCTAGAGTGTACGGAGACCTGTACGAGTTCGTCAATTAGCGAGTTTGATAGGGGCCGTATAGTGGGACTTCGGGAAGCTGGACTTTCTTTTCGGGCAATTGCAGTTAGAGCGCAAAGAAGTGTAGACACTGTGGTTAGGTGTTGTCAGGCATGGCTTCGAGAAGGCCGTACGCAAAGAGCAAGGGGCACTGGACGCCGCCGTAAAACAACAGAACCGTGAAGATCGCCGCCTAAGATTATTGGCCTTAAGGGACCGTTTCTCCACTACCAAGTCTATTGCAAATGAATGGTTTGCGGAACACGGAAAGACCTATTGGGCATGCGAAGTGTTTACCGACGAAAATGAGAAGTTTTGGCTTGTTTTCATACCGGCCCACACTGGGTCCTCTCCCTTAACTCGAGAACACCGACGTAAGTATGCCTTGAAGTGGTGCAGACAACGGTCACTCTGGGATCAGGAATGGAACAGTATTGTCTTTAGTGACGAGTCTCGATTTTGTTTAGGCATGCACGATTGTCGTGCCAAGGGTTAGAAGGCGACGTGGGTGAAAGGAGGAATCCACAGTTTTTTGTTGAAAGACATGTTCATCACACTGTTGGAGTTATGGTTTGGGGTGCTATAGATTATGGTTCCAGGTTCACCTTTAATCTTCATCAGAGTAACATGAACGCGCAGCGTTAGATCCACGAAGTTCTAGAACCCCATCTTTTACCCTATCTTGACACCCTGGCAGATCCAACTTTCCAACAAAGAGAATGCCCGACCACATGTTGCAAGAGTCACAATAGACTTCTTTCAACTAATGATGTCACATTGTTACCATGGCCACCAAGATCTCCCGACTTATCCCCAATTGAGCACGTGTGGGATATGATGGGTGGGAGATTGCTCAATTTGCAACGTCTTCCTCAAACTCTAGACGCACTTCGAGAGGAGTTGGTGGTTGCCTGGAATGAGATACCACAAGAGGCCATTGACCACCTGATCAGAAGCATGCCTAGGCGCGTTGGAGAATGCGTAGCACATCAGGGTGCATCCACACATTATTAAAGGTCAAAGGGCTTTAAAGCAGTGCAACCATTTTGAAATTTTTATCACTTACTTATTATGCTTCATTAAGTACTTATACAAAATTTTATTAAAATAAAACCATTTAAACTGGGTGTTCGGATTTATATGTCACTTAGTATATTTAAAATAATTCAGGACTCACCCCTATAATTAAAAAATTCAATAACCGATCGATGTCGTCCGCTTGAACTTGCTCTTGCCGCTGTTCTGCATTAGCTTGGTGTCCTTGCCGGCGAATATGACCACTCCGTAGCACCATTGCGTGTTCCTCAGCACGCATCCTCTCAGCATGATCTTGTCGTTGTCCAACGAGTACCGTTTCCCTTTCCATATCAGCACACCTTCGAACTTGTTCAGCAGATTGTTGGGCATCTCGCAGGCGATCTCGCCGTCGAATTCGACAGCAACGCGTCGTCTTGGCCCATCTCCGCCGTTTCCGGCAGGCATTGACGGCACTTCAAGTTCGTCTCGCTGGAATCGAAAACAAACATTGATTGACGATTTGAACGAGAAGGATGTCAATACAAGTTATGTTATCCATTGATCATGCGATGTAACAATGTTTCCGCATTACAACAAACGACATGATGCTTTATGCTTACAGTATCGGACAAAATTAGAGATACTAGACCAATTATGACTTTTATGGAATACAGAAATACAGGGTGTAAACTTTATGATAGTCATTATTTAAATGGGTGATCGAGGGGGTTAAAAGCAGTAAAAAGTTTTCATATACTGGGGGTCAAAACGGCATTTTTTTTAGAGAAAAGCCACTTAAAGTAAAATAAAATCTAACAACGCCGCAATGCCCGACGCAAATTAACGGAACGCAGTGTAAATAAAGATGGAGTTTGTTGTTTTTGGCTCTTAGGTATTATTTCATTATTTAATAATGTACTTGTAAAATGCAAACAATAAAAAAAACCGGACTTACCACTAAATGTCTCAGCGCTTCAGCTGGGTGTGAAAGTTTATTGAACGTATTAAAACAATCCACTTATAAATAGGGAACATAATTTGATACATACATTGTTTTCTTTTCAAAACACACACTGCACTTTTTTGTATTTAAGAAGGTGTTCAAATGTCGTCCTCCACTTTCCACACAAGCTTCATTACGACGAACCCAGCAGTGGCGTAGCTAGAAGTCATGGGGCCCCGGGGCAAACATTTTTTGGGGGCCCTCATGAGTATGTTTAAGAATAAAAAATATCATGTTATAATAAAAAAATTGTTTATTGTCATAAAAACAAAAAGTAACACAAATTAAAATAATGAAATAACAAAGTCAAAAATTAAGCAATGATAAAATTAAAAATTCCTTTTTCTTGCTTTTCATTTGCAAATTCGTTGATAATTTCATTTATATCAAGGTTTTGGGCTTCTTCATTCTCTATAGAGAGTAAAGTAAAGCAAGATCGCTCAATCTAATCCGGCCTGTAGTAGACCTAAGATAGTTTTTTACAAGTTTTAGCTTGTTAAATGATCTTTCAACAATGCAGTAGTTACAGGCAACGTAAAAAATAAAAGGAACAAACAACTTCACTTAAGTCGCTTTCAAGTACCATACTTACTTAAAATTATATTGTAATATTCCTTAATTGATAGATCTCTTAAGGTCTCTTTTACAAAGATTTAACAAATTGTTACACTGAAATATTAAATTATTTAAATCAAATATTTCAGGATATTTGCTATAAATGGCTGTACATTTATTTTTAATGGATGTTTCATCGCAACTTAATAATTTTTGGAGAGTAAGTAAATCAACAACTTATTAATTTTTTTCATGCTCCTAAATCTATTAGAAATCTGTGTCAGAACACGATTCATAACAACATTAAAAACATTTATTTTAAATAAAATTTGAGTATTATTAAATCTGTAATCACTTAAGAGTTCGTCAAAGAGTGTTTTTTAACTTCAGGTTGACGTTTTTGCCTGAATTCCGGTTGAATATTCCATTTGTTAGCCAGTTCGTAGCTTCAATCATTAAAACTTCCTAAGATCTTAAGTCAGTAAGGTTCTTTTCTACTTGTTCTAAAACAGTCACAGATTCACTTAAATCAATATTTTTCTTTTGAAGGACCTGTGGGCGAAGTTAACCTGGGTAAGATACAATCCATAATTTTTGCGAAGTAGGTGTCAGCATCATTAAACATTTCAGTGATATTGGCTTGTAAGAGTGACTCTCGTAACGTTTCAAAGTCAATAATTGTGATTTCTCTTGATTTTTCTCTCATTAAACATATTTTCCACCTCGAAACATATCCACCAATGGTCGCTTATTTTTGGATTATGTAAACCTTAATACTCAAATTCTGTTCATTCAACAAACAAACTTAAGGATACTTTTTTAAAATTCAAGTTCATCTTTTGATACTCCTATCTCTAAAGAGGACCTAAAAATGTCAGTAAATAAATACATTAATGATTTCCAAATTCCAAGTTTAACAAATATAGCACAAAACGTCGATGAACTTAATTTATGTACACAAAATTCTGATGCAAAATTTCGAATTTTTAATATGAACATAAGGAGTATAAAACACAACATTGATTACTTAAAAATACTACTCGACCAAATATGGTACAATTTTGATCTAATAGTTTTAACTGAAACGTGGCAAGTGGTTGATATTTCTTGCTTCAATCAGCAGGGATATGACACGCTGTATAACTTTGGCACTTATAACCAAAACGATGGGGTGATAGTTTTTGTAAGAAATAAACTGCAATATATAATTCACTGATCAAAATGATCCAAATTAACCATAACAAAATTGAGGTATCTGCAATTTATCGTCCGCCATGTTCAGAACCCCACGAGTTTTTAAAGAATATCGAATTTTTTTTTCAAAATCAAAATAAAGTTCATTTAAAGCAACATATTTTCTTGGGAGATGTCAATATAAATATTTTGGACGATGATCCCATCACAAATGAATACTTGAATATCCTATCAAGTAACGGATTTCTGTCCTATATAAACCTACCTACAAGGTCCATCAGTGGCACATGTATAGATCACTGCTTTGTGAAAGACCTATCCAACAAAATTACTTGTATACCAATAATCCTAGAAAGCGATATTACTGACCACTTCTCCACTATTTTACTGATATCTTCAAATGAAAAACATTCTAACATCCCTACCGTTAATAACAACCAGGAAAATTACAAATTTTTTGTCGACAATTCAAAACTAATATCAAATGTCAAACAAGAATCCTGGGAACAATTATACTCTATAAATATAGACAAAGCAACGGGACTGTTCATAGAGAAAATAAAAAAACTAATAGATATTAGTACCAATAAAGTAATAATTAGTCACAAAGAGAAAAGCAGAAATGCCTGGATTACCAAAGGATTAATAACATCGGCAATAGAAAAAGAAAGACTATATAATGTAATGAAACTAACGCCAACTACAGAGAATACCGACTGCTACAACCAATATAAAAATAAATTTATAGAGCTTGTAAGGCAAACCAAACGAAAACATTACCTAAATAAATTGAATAATAACTTAAATGATCCTAAGCGGCTTTGGACAACTATTGATGAGATTACTGGGAAAACAAAATTAAAGAGTGTGTCACTGAGTTAAATACAACATCGGGAACAGTATTAAAAAATACTCAACAGATATGCGATGAATTTGTACAATTCTTTACTGACATAGGCGAAAATTTAGCAAGTAATATACAAGCAAATGTACAAAATACTCAGCCTCCAAAAAGAACTTTGAACTCATTTATTTTGGATAAAGTCGAGCAATGTTATGTCCTTAAAAAATCGGAAAAGTCCTGGGTTCGATGGTATTAAAAGCGAGCATTTGAAAATTATAGCCGAGGACATAACAGAACCACTCACTTACCTAATCAACAAATGCTTTGAATCTGGCATATATCCCTCAATTTTAAAAAAAGGTAATATAATACCGATACATAAATCAGGAACAAAAACAGATGTTAACAACTATAGACCAATATCAATAATATCCAGTGTAGCAAAG